TCCTCCGGACCGATATAAGGTTTAATATAAATAAACTCAATTTCCAGATTGGATGGCAAAATAAAATTAAATTATAATATATGCCTAGTCAGGTTAGGACGAGTGGCGATTACGCCTCCCATGATATTTATTGCCAGATGTCTGAGTCGAACAAACATCTCGATGATTACAAATCATGTATTTTACCATTAAATTAATCTGACTATTAATATTATAAAAAGATAATAGCCTCGAGTCTAGAGTAAAAATGGGTCTTGCTCAAAATAAACCTATTTTTGTTTATTCGTTAGATGGTACGCTTGAAAATAGTTTTCCTTCTGGTAGAAAAGCTAGAGAATTCTTTAATACTGATAGTAAAATTATATTAAAATATCTTAAAAATAGTAAGATATTCAGAGAAAAATGGATTTATCTTCATTTAAGAAATAAATAGCCTGAATATAATAATAGAGGTTAATATATTATTATTGTACATTATAAATAAGTTAAAATTATTAAATAACAATTTTTAACATTTCCCCTCTCTTTTATCTTCTTTACAAAATCTATAAAGTTATTAAATAATAAGAGACTCTATGGTCAAATGGTGAAGACGCTATTCCTTCACAATAGAATTACCGGTTCGATTCCGGTTAGAGTTAAAATAAAAGTTATGAGGGAATGTTACTTAACGGGTAAAGTGGTAAGCTTTTAACTTATTTATCAGAGTTCGAGTCTCTGCGTTCTCATCAAATATGACTATATTTATAAAATAGATTTTACGATTAAAAGATTTATCTTGAATATATAAAGAAAGCTAATAAAAATGGATCTTTTTTATACAATAAATTATCTATTAAAGATTAAAGTTAATGAAATTAATATTGATTACTTTTTTAATAAAATAATTATATCAAGAGAAAATTTATAACACCTTATATATTAATTATTATATTAATTCACTTTATTAAATTCAATAATAGAATAAAAATTGAAGAAAGACTATTTAATTATGTAAAATAAATTACCATTTTTATCAATAATTAACCTTATTTTATTTAGAAAAAGGGGTATTTAAAAATTAATAGTTCTTATTTACAATTTAAATTTCTTTAAATAAAAAAAATTAATTTAAATAAAAAAAATCAAATTAAATAATGATAAATAGAAGAGAACTATCTGGTACAATAATGTTGTATTTTAACATTCAACTTTTATTAAATTATTTATATTTTCTTTATACAATTTGATATATTATAGTTCTTTTTGTTATAATTGCGACTAATTTTGTAATTAAAGTTTTTTATAGTTATATTTATTTATTTAAGAGGGTTATTTTATTAAAGATTAATTTTATAACACTAGCATATTTTATAATTTATATAAAAGTATTGCTATTCTTTTTTAAAATATTCTTGCGTATATATAATAACAACATTGGTATGAAATCTTCTAATTGATTAAATTCTCAATAATTTAAATCTTAATTATTTGTTCAAGTCTTTTATCTAAAATTACAAAATTGTTAAACATTCAATAATTTTTTTTTAAGTTTTTATACCAAAATTGTAATTTACTATATTTATATAATAAATCTTATATTAAAAAGATTTATCTTGGGTATTAATGCGTTATTTATTATATTTAATATAATTTTAAATTTATGTTAAATTATTAATAAAAGTTATTTTATAAAAATAACCATTCCAAGAAAAAAATCTATAAGACCTTATAATTATAATAATTCCATATTATTGGGACTTATTTATCTATTTAGCGAAGCCGATATACTGGGTGCAAAAGATATATAATTATTATATAAGGCTAGGATATATACTTTAAGGTTATTAATTTAAAATTAATCTACCTATTTTTACATTATTAATTAAAATGAATTCTTTATTATTAGATTTATTAACATTTCTTTCTGTATTATCCGCTATATTGGTAATTACAGCTCGGTCACCCGTTATAGCAGTGATTTTTTTAATTGCAGTTTTTATTAATATTGCTGGATATTTAATTTTACTAGGAGTTAATTTTATAGGGTTAGCATATATCATGGTTTACATTGGGGCAATAGCCATACTTTTCTTATTCGTAATTATGATGTTAAATATACGATTAGTAGAAATTTCTGAAATAGGATCTCAATATAATAAAAATATTCCATTAGCAGTAATTGTTGCATCTGCCTTAAGTTATTTAGTATTATCAAATTCTACTACATCTAAATTTGATCAAATTTATTTAATCACAGCTTTATTTGATAAATTTAATTTCTGGTTCTCAGGTATTGATTCTTCAAGTAATATTATTACTACGGGATTTAATATAGCATATTCTAATATTTTCGTAAATTACGAAGAAGTTCAAGTAATAGGTGCTATGTTATATTCTTCTCATGGATTATACTTAGTACTTGTATCATTTATTCTATTATTAGCGATGATAGGACCAATCATCATCACGTTAGATAAAAAAATCTAACACCCCCTATAATATCTTAATTAAATTTAAACAAGTTGAAGTATCTCTTAAAAATATTTTATAGTTTTTATATATTTTAATATTTATTATTGAAGCTTTATCTATGAAGTTATTAACTTTATTTATTCAAATAAATAAAATTTTATTTTAAATTTTTGTATCTGTAATGAGAAATTTTTATATAGATACAGAAAAATAAAAAAATTTTATTGATAATAATAGCTAAAAGTGCTATTTATTTATGAATTTATAAAAAGTTAGGTAAAAAATATGTAGGTTCAATAGTTAATTAATCAAAACGAATATATTATAATTTTTTTATTATATACTTAGATCATTATAAAAATATACTTATAATATATTAAAAATCATAAGTATTTTGTATATTTTTTTTTAATAATTTATAAATATATTGATATTTTTTATTTACCTTTTTCAGAAAAAATTTTAAGAAACTAAAATTTATTCAATGTAATAGAAATTAATAAAATGGTAATTTATAACTCTATATAACCTACAGCTATAAATATTATTCCAATAAATACATAGAAACCATGGAAACCTGTTGTGAAGTAGAATGTACTACTATAAACTTAATTTGCAATTGTATAAAGGAATATTAATAATATGAATAATTATTCTTTTACATATATAAATAATTATAATATAATTAAATTATTTATAATATAATTAAATAATTTATAATAACAATATTAATATGTCTAATTCATAAATACTAATAATAATAATATAGTAATATATAATTCATAAACACTTATAATTTACTTAATAATTTTTAGTGAAAGGTTTAATTCCTCTCTTCATTTATTATAAAATAAAAATAAGCAGTTATAGGTAAATGGTATACCAGTGCTCTTCCAAAGCGATATTCCTTTTTCGATTAAAGGTAACTGCATAAACCTGGTTAGCTTTACAAAGTTCGTCCTCTTTTATAGATTCGTTCTCCCTTAGCCCAGGATAGATATGATGATAAGTAAGGTCTCTAGAAATATATAACTCTTAAAAGGGTAAAAGAGTTTAAACAGAGATAAAGAATTAATAATAATAATAAAATGATAATTAATAATACGATAACAATTAATAGTACAATTAATTCACTATTAGAAGCATTAATTGTAATAGGACCTTTATTAGGTTCTATAGCATATGTTACTATCGCTGAGCGTAAAATAATGGGAAGTATGCAAAGAAGAATAGGACCTAACAAAGTAGGTTATTATGGGTTATTACAAGCATTTGCAGATGCTTTAAAATTACTAGTTAAAGAATTAGTATTACCTTCAAACACTGATAAAATACTTTTTGTATTAGCACCTATGATTTCTTTAGTTTGTGGTTTATTAGTTTGGACTCTTATACCATATGGAAAAGGTTTAGTAATAGCTGATTTTTCTTTAGGGATTGTTATAATTTTAGCTATATCTTCAGTAGCAGCTTATGGAATAATATTAGCAGGTTGGGCTTCAAATAATAAATATTCATTTATTGGTTCTTTACGAGCTACAGCTCAATTAATAAGTTATGAAGTAGTTTTTGGATTAATAATTTTATTAGTAATTTTTTTCGTAGGTTCATTTAATTTAACAACAATTATAGAATCTCAAAAAGCTATTTGGTATATTTTTCCTTTATTTCCTATCGCACTAATGTTTTTAATAGCCATTCTGGC